CTTGACTCTCGCTCTACCAAAGTCTCAGAGCATGCGCAGTGGCCGACCATCTGCCGCAGCACTCAACGCTGCCTTCTTGCCCCCTGACGAAGCGGCGCAATCGCGAGCTCACCAGCCCTCACCACACACGCCACCTTCCGCGCACGCACCTGCTCTTACCAACCACAATCCGAATTCGCCTACTCGTCTCATCCCGCCCATTGTGAGCTCTCCTACCGACTCAGCGTACAGCTCCAGTTCCGACGGCCAGCGACTCCATGTCGGCCACACACGACCGCTTCTTACACTCGCCATCAATACACTCCCCTTCTCCGCCCCAATTTCAACACCAGATGCTAACCTGCTCACGTCTCCCCCGCGCGACTTCGCCGCGTTCTCTAAAAGAATCACAGTCTTTTCCCACATCGCACCTCGTGCCGCTGCCGCTGGCAGCATTGCGTCACCGAGCGTCTTTATTGACTACTCCCGCGTCGCCTTAATTCTCGATCACACCCACAGTCGACGCGCACAGCTCAACATTATATGTATCGGCCTTCCTGCTGCTCTCTTGTTATTGCTACACTAACTATTGTCGTACACACGTCGAACCCAGGTAGCGTTTCTTCCGTGCCACTGTCGCACCGCCATCCTTGGTCTTCTCGATATCATCCCCTCTTCACTGTTGCGAGAGTTTTCATCCTTCTGTTTACAGCTCTTCTCTCATGCTTACCCCTCTACCCACGCTCGACACACACGCCACAAGTCCAACCGTCAACACGACTCGCCCAGAACTCCGCGCCATAGGTCTACACCACACCGGTCGAGGCTCGATCATACTCACTCACTGCGCTCTCGCCACGGCTTCACATACACGCCGCTCAGCCTCCGACCAAACGACCACGCCAGCACACGCACCAACAACAAAACAACCACACGACCACGCAGCCCCACACCCGCACAGCGACGCACTCGCACGCTCAGCCGCTTCCCGCCGCTACGCGTACCACACAGCGTACCCACGCTTACTGTCAACGTCGTGAGCGCCACCCCCCGCTTCACAAGCAGAACAACCCCATTTAATTATGATGATCACACCCTAGGTATAATAATTAAATCACGGCGAACTTGAATAAACAACCGTACTATACATCACTGCAAGAAATGTAAAATTAACCAAATAAATCTGACATAGTCCAACAGTGTGGCTATTCTTATAGAACACAAACAAGAACGGTTTACAGAAAATAACCTTCTTTACTTCTAAAAGAAATACATCAAGGAGGAAACTCCTTCACATCCAGACCAACAAACACCATAACATACAGCTCACTAAATCAGAAATTAATCTATAAAGCAGATCTCAATCGTCTAACCTGGTCTCTCAAAGCATGCTCTGAATAATGACACCACTTACATACTATATACACACGACAGAAATCAGATTTCTGCAGCACCGCAACATCGCTATATTATACCATTAGCAATTCACTGTGTCATAGCATCAAAATAAAGGTACAACCCAGAATTCAAATAATACCATATTCACTCATACAAGGCACCATCAGAACCAACAACCACACCACCTAAGACAACACAAGCATCACCATACTGCACACATTCTACTCTCCACATCAGAACCCCACAACCACAACATTAACTTTAATAGCACCTTTTGAGCTACAGTAGCTCACATATAAAACCACACAACAAGACACACTACAGCCTCCTGCATCAGTGAGCCTCGCCCCCCACTGACCCTCCGAACCAAGGATTCACCAGGTCTTATACATTCCTTAGATAAGTAAAGCATAATATAGACAGCGAAATAACATAGGCAGCATCAGCAGACTGCGGAAGAACCAAGACATGCACAGATATCAGCAAACAATCTGACCCAGACATCCAACCAATAAACATAACAAATGGACCTTTGTCCCAAAGGTCCCAAATCCCATCACGCTGCCATTATAATTCCCTGCTTCTAACACATCAACTCCTGAGGACAAATGTATCACTTGCCCATGCCATCACCACATCATCCACGCCACATGACCGGATTGCCATGCGATAAAAATAATCAAGTGTAAGTATATCACCTCACCCTGTCATGCTGAATAATGCGTTATGGCTGATCAGTTGTATCAAGCCAATTACTCGTAAGATCCATTTTACCTGGAATGAATACAATAGCCCCATCATGCTTTTTTCCGTGCTTTTCGTCATTGTTTGGAAACAACATGACCATCATCTAAGAAGAAACGCGAATCGTAATGCGTAAGCATACAATAAAATAATTAAATAGAAACAACCAATGAAGAAGAAAATCCCCTGCATGTCCCATCCATCTCACAGCCACAGTCCCTTAAAATACAAGATAGATAAACATAAATTTCCTCTCAAAAGCACGTCCCGAACAAACTATGGTCCTCTTTTCCAAGAATAGACTAAACTTAGCTCGGATGTAGAATCGGCCTCTCAAATCTTTCTAAAACGACCAACTCCACTGATCTGCACAATGCAGAATCACACCTCTAATAAAGAAGAACCCAGATGATGATAGCAGTTAAAAACGGTATCTTATATAATCACTCTCAGATATCAATCCACATCGCCATCCCTGATCATTCCTAACAATGGTAGGAGAAACTACACGGTGAGGCAACAGGCCAAAGGGTCACTCGATCATACGAGCCCAGCTGACAGAAATTTGGAGCGATTTGCCGCGTTCTGGGATCTACGACATGTAACCAAGGCAGCGGATTTCAAAGCGGAGGACTCAAATGAAACAAGGACCACCAGCAAAACAAAGAGAAACGCCAGTTATGACCTTGAACGCAAGAGTATACTTCGTCCAGCACACCCAAACGTAACAGATAAAGGCATAAAGATACGCAATAAAACGCGCACGCACAGAGCAGCCCTGTTACCTGCTCATCCACTCTTGTGTATTGCCAATGAGAACCTATTTTTATTGTATATAGAAGAAACTTGTTGATACCCTTTTCTATGAACCATCCTGTGATGACCGCGACAGATCTAGCAACGGTTTATCAACGCACGAGGGAACGTTCGCATTACCTGTAGGCACACATCACCTTTCAGAGGATACACATGAACAGCAAAAGTAAGCCTGACACAGAATATGCTCTCCAGGTCACGCCGAGTTATAACCATGAGTGGGAGCAAGCCACTAAAATGGATCGCTGGTGAAAATCTGTACCGGTCTGCACACTTTTGGCATGCGTAGTGTGGTGATGTAATGAATTATGATCGCGTGGCTCCAGACACACACAGAAGCCTGTCTCATTCCAAATAAGCCAATTATTGGATTCAGTCACTTGTGGCTTGTGTAATTGACAGAGAAAGATTGCGGCAGCTGAGAGGTTGTCGCAAGTGATTTCTGTCTGGTATGACACTGGTTAAACCTACCCAGACGCCCACCTGTACACACATACACCCGGATCCCTGGTCTGTCTTCCGTTGCCGCCCCACACACACACACACACACCCGACACACACACCACACTCAAACAACTGGCTTTCTCTGACCCACACACACGCACAGACGAAACCCTTTTCATCTTCCTGAGGACAATAGCTGGCGGGAGTGAGACTGCAAGAGGAACACCAGCCATGTTATCCTAGCGGAGTAGTGCGCATACCCCCTCCCTGCGCTGCTCTCTCTGCTCCTTTCTCCCTCCAGGGCTAACCCAGGGAAGCCTTCTCTGTCCGGCTGGCACGCAGTCGGGAGCGCGGGGGTTCGGGCGTTACGCAGGCGGACCGCTGCTCACAACACACAGCTTTATTTCAGGACACAGGCTGTACTTTTGACAGTGTCTCTACTGCATTACCCATCCGATGCCCCTCCTCCCTCCTCCCCCTCTCTCCCCTGGCTAGGGTTGGCTCCCTCGCTCACAGGGTATGGCTGGTGAGACAGTCGAGAGCGGCCAGCACGGGAACCTATGCTGTCGCGTGGTGGTTTCGGTGTGTGACAGAGAGAGAAAACTGAGAAACGAGCGTAGACGAGAACAGGAGAGAGACGAGCGACCGAGACGAGTGAGAGAGGAAGAGGCAAAAGCCTTTTGCTTCGTGCAATCTAGAAATTAGCGTTTTCTGTCTGTTTGCTTTGGCAATGAATCTCCTCACAAGAAAGCAAGACCTGCGTGCTTGTTTTGATTTGGTTCTTTGTGTACCTAATGCACAGAACATTAGTTCTGCCATGTGTGTAATTCTTTGTAACGTCTTTCCCCTCGTCATCATCCTACAACATCCTTTGATTCTTAAGAACTAATTAAGTTAGATAGCTACTTCACTGTTACAGAGGCGTTTTTTGCTAGCATTTCAGGATCCTTTATATAAGCTGGATTGCGACAGCCTGGTTTCGCACAGTCTTCTGCAGTGTTCCACAAATCACATTTACTTGGCACAAGTGGAGATGGGAAAACGACATCTCATCTCTACAAGCTCTTCCCTGCACTCACGTTATCAGACAACGCTATTCACTGCCAGAGTTGGCTGGGTTAAACACATAACCTCGCGAGATGGTCCATAACTATATCACCTACACAAAAGCTTGGCTTTAATTCCACTGTGAATAGCTGGACCTGGTGGCAGCCCCATCGTTTGTGATTACCTCTTCTTCCGACACTACTCTATGCACGCAAGAACGATCTTTAGCCCCGGTGCACGCCTGGTCAGTTCTAACGCTAGCGTGTGTGTGTGCATGGGGGGGGGTAAGCTGTAACACTGTAGGCTTGATACTGCTGAGTGAGATGAGGGTTTGGTGTGAAAGCAACAGGATCCAATTTACCCTGATGGCCTCACTTACTGATTTTTTTGTGTTTTGATGGACAACTAACACCAACATGGCACCCCTATGTAGCACCCACCCAACTTACTATTCACACATACACCTTTCAACCATGCCATGGCGCCAGCTAATGTTCGCTCACTGTCAAATTCTATTCCCAAACGGGAGGTATATTCATCCCCCCCTTCTTCTGTTTCTCGTTTCTCCACAGTGCCAGATCGCCACGCAGGAAGAGGACCATGATTGACAGCCAGGCGAGCTGAGGAGACCTGTCACTCATCTTCCTATCAGTGTGTCAGAGGGCTATCTCCTACTCGCTTCCCCCCTCTTCCTCCTCCTTCTCCTCCACCATCCTCCTCCCTCCCTCAATCCTCTCCTCTTATCTTCTCAATGGGCTGGTAACCTCCCCATCCCTCGTAGTTATTCCTCACTCCAGAAACCTGAAAGAGACAGAAATAGTAAAGAAAAACAACGAGACACTTCTAAACCAACCCTCGCTCCACCTGAGGGGAGTTTGGCATGCCTCCTCACTCTAGTTGAGTGAGTTGTAGTAAGTGGAAGTAGAAGAGGGATCCCTTGTTTACACACCTCTTTAAGAAGGAGCTGAGAGAGGACCAGTCATGCTTTTCCATTTGGCATTGACGCTGCAGGCGCTATGGACCGGTGTTTGCCAGGCAGCCGTACAGCACTACCCTGCAGCATGGGGCCACTACGATGTGTGTAAGTCCCAGGTTTACTCAGATGAAGGTTTGACCTGGGACTACATGGCCTGCCAGCCAGAAGCAGCAGACATGACCCAGTACCTGAAGGTTACTCTGGACCCCCCCAACATCACCTGTGGAGACCCTCCAGAGACATACTGTGCCCTGGTAAGTACATGCCAAAAGTGATGAAAACCATTGACAGTATATATAATGGACAGAGCCTCCGGATCTGAAAAGTGAAGCCAATGCTGTGTTAAGTGTCTTAAACCTGCATTCTATGTAAAGTCTAGTTGGGGGAGTGCCATTGGCTGCAATAACACACCAATGCCATTCACTCTAATATGAGCTGAATTCCCACTTGATTTATGAGCTCAGTAAACAGTTACCTAATGAGTTTATGGTCTCGATCGCTTGTTTCACGTCTTCTTCAATACATTATGATGTGCATTTAGTAAACTATGGTCCAATTTAGAGTAAAATAGACGATAAAGTTGCGTATGATTTTGGGCGCGGTTACCTTATGATTGACAGGTCATTCTCAGTGAGTCTGTCCAGCTCAGTGCACCAAACTCAGATTAAACTGTCAAACTAGGCAGTGCTGATCCAATACGACGCTAGATTATTTTACTGCGTTGCCTATTTCTCACTTGAAATCATTTCAGAAACATATTTTAGTTAACTGTTTATCTGTAATACGAGATTGTTCGGAACCAGGCGAGCCACGATTGTTTCCTGCTACGGACGAGTCAAAACTGCGCAACCAATGAGTACGTCACCTCCACTGGCTCACACAGGCTCCATCTAACCATCATGGCAATGACCAAAATGCCGAGCTTGAGGCTTCAAAATGGTTCTCCACAAACCAATGGGTGATGTCACGCTTCAGTCTTGGTAAAAACTCAGGAGTCTTCCTTTAAAAAAATATTGTACACACACAAAAAAAACCAAGGCAGCTTTCTTATCTGTGTCTGTGTATCGTGTATCTACTCGGCTTGTTCTGACCTCGCAGCCGTGACAGACACTTTCAAAGCCTGTGTGACTCAGATATGTTTCTGTGGCTGAAGAAATAGAGGTTTGTGCCCATTGACGTCATGTTCTGCTGTTCACAGAGCTGCTTCTCGGTGTGCACTGCAAACACTGTCTGATGTGCTGTTGATGCTGCTTACTTGCAAAAAACACTGTATAATGTGACTTTACCAATGAAAACACACGTACTCACCTCACCCCCCATACACTTCAGAGTCGCATAAAAATACAGTTACTCAGCGCGTCCCAGTGCAGCTTTTCTGTTGCATCAATGTAGTTTTAGAGTGGCCTAAAAATTCAAACAATCTCTGGGTGAAATAGTGCATAGGTGGACTAAAAATACAACAGCATGTATAAAAACTTAAGTGGAGCACTATTTTATGCACCAATACATGTGTTTTTTTGGTTTTCTTATGTTAAGCAACACCTTTGCCCATGCAGCACTGTAAGTGTTAATTTCTTTGCCTCTTTAACTCTTAAACACAGTGGCCCAACATAAGAATATTCAGTGTCAGCATTCGTTAATAGTGTGTATGGTAATTTCCCCCCCTAAAATGTTTATTTCGGGAATCTAGTGACACATTTGGACTTGGGGACTGTTGCTTTTCATTCAGCATATTTGCCTTCCTGTGAGAAATGTTAGTTGGTCTGTCAGTCCACTTTGGTCCAGACTTTTTACTACAGATGTTGGATGGATTGCCAAGAGATTTTGTGTAGACATTCATGCTTCCCAGTGGAGGAAGCTTTATGACTTTGATAATATCCAAATTGTTCCTCTCGCACCATGTTTGGTTGACATTTGTGTTTTTCAGTGAAATGTGTCGACAGCTGTTGATTGGCAAGAAATTTGGTACAAACAATCATGTCGCCATCAGGATGAATTGTAATAACTTTGGTGATTACTTAACCTTTCCTCCATGCCATAATCAGGTCAAAATTTCACTCTATTTTATGACCAAATACCTGCAAAACTAATGACATTCCCATCATTCTAACACACTAAACCAGTGCTCAAACTGGGGCATAGAGGATATAAGAGTTTGCTGATGCTATCGTGCTGATCGTCCTCTGAGTGAAGCCTCACAGGAGCCTGCCTGTAGACTCTTTGTCTTCTTTCCAGACAAACCAGAAATATAATGTAATACTTATTGCCAAAAATAGATTTGTTTCCAAAAGAAGCATTTATGAACTGGCAACAGGTTAAGCGGTTATTGTGCTGTGTGAATTCAAGAAGTAATCTAAATAATTTAAGTGTAAGGATTGCACTAATTTTCTTATGGGGTTTTACTTTGTTGTTTTTTGACCAAAAACCCTAGACTTCAAGGGGACTTTTGAAATAATGAAGATTTTTTTCTGTTTCATTTCACAAAAGATGTGAATGAATGTAAGGGTTGTTTAATTACTGAACAAATTTGCCACCATCAACTTGTTGATAACGGGTTCCACATTGTTGCACATTAATAAAATCATGATGATTTAAAAGTGGTGTTTTGTACGATAAGAGGGGTTTTATATTTAAACAGCACAATAAAAAGCATTGATTGGTTGATTGGTTTACCCTTTGAAGTTCATGTGGTGCTGTTGATTCTGCAAATTACATTGCAATCATGAAAATCACAAATTCCTGGTGGAGCTGAAAATAAAATGAGATGCATATTAGGTCAAGTATTTAATTAGCAACCCGCCCTCCTCCTTATTCCGGGTCCTTTACACTTTGAAACTCGCAGCTGGTCGCCTCAGATTAACGCTAAATGATGAATCCATTTTGGGCCGTCGTGTGTTACCAAGTCATCAAAGATTCTCTCAGAACAAATGCACTCCTCAACAGCTTCAAGAGCTCTTTTGATAAATAGTGAGATGTTCCAGGAAAGTAGTAACTTGAGGAGTATAAATAGACAGTCGCCATCAGCAGAAAGTCAGCTGAGAGGAGGCACAGAGGAACAGAGAGGGATTAACAAAATACAGATGACAAAGACAGTGAGCGAATGATCAAGAGAGGAGCGAGCGGGAGTGAACATGGGGGAGACAGAGGCTCTGAGGACTATGTGCAAACGGTGACTGAAGAACTAATATCTATTGCGTGGGGCGGGCGGGATAGAGGCTCTGAAATGTGAATAATTCAACATGTTTTGTAGCTAATGTGTTTTATTCATAGGACACATTATTCAGCCCGACATCTCTCAGGCACTTTTGAAAAATGCTGACGCCCGTGATACGACCAAGGTTGGTTGAAGGCAAAGGGGATTTGGGGTTGGGGGAGTCAAGGGGGTAGGACGCCATATCTGGGATGTCACCGTCAAAATGGGGTCGCCCTCCGATCTCCCCCTGGGTGGCCCCGTGACCTCCGATTGATCCACATTTGAACCTGAAGTGTGTCTTGTATTTGCTTTGCGGCGACTGTGGATGAATCCTGGATGAACAGCGGTCATCTGTGTCTAATGCTTCTGTGGAGCCGTTCTATTTCTGGACGCACAGTTGAAACTGAGTTTATTATTATTATTGCCTGCATTTCAACAGTCTGATGATCGCTTATTGAATTAGCAGGAGTTCTGCGATGCGCTGTCGCCCTCATGTCTCCAGCAGTCAATGTGATAGGAGTGCTTCAATTAAACAGGCAGTGGTTAACTCCCACATAACCATTTCCTCTTTCTACTGTACTCATCACAAATCACACAAACATCAGTGAAATATGACCCCTGCCGCTTACCATAGAGTCCAATTCACTGCAATTGGTTTATGTTTACCCCAGGCAGTAACGTGGCTCCAAATCAACATCGGAACAATTATCATTGATATTCCAGCTACTCTGGCTGCCAATACGCTGCTGCAATGCCAATAGTGGTTTGTATCGTGAGTCAGATCATTGCAGATTCGGGGCAATTATCATTAGGCCGCGTTATCGGAGAATTTCATCTCTCTGGTAATTGATTTTGCGCTCATAGAGGCGGGTGTATTTTAAAGCCTTGCGTCTGCTTCCTGGAGTGCTGAAGGTAACAGACACCAAAGCCTGACGAGAGGAGAGAGAGAGAGAG